CCCCAAAACCCCAAAACCCCAAAACCCCAAAACCCCAAAACCCCTCATTTGCTGACTAATCTTGACCTGGGATAAAAGGCAGGAATCGCTTAACTTATATAATATTTAATAGGAAATGAAGTTGACTATTGTCTGCCTCCTAGCACTTCTCGCCTTCACTATGGCCGATAAGAAAACCGACCATTGGGCTGTCATTGTTGCTGGATCCAACGGATTCTGGAACTACAGACACCAGGCTGATGTTTGCCATGCTTACCACATCATGAAAGATAACGGAATCCCAGAGGATCAAATCATCCTCCTCTCTTACGATGATGTAGCCTCTTCTTCTCAGAACCCATTCCCAGGACAGCTCTTCAACAAGCCAGATGGTGAAGATGTCTATGCCGGATGTAACATTGACTACAAAGGTAAAGATGTCACTCCAGAAAACTTCATGAATATTCTCAAGGGTAATGGAGACGGAAAAGTATTGAAATCCGATTCAAACTCCAAGGTCTTCATCAACTTTGCTGATCACGGAGCTCCAGGACTTATTGCTTTCCCAACCAAGCAACTCTATGCTAAGGACTTCCATGAGACTTTGTTGTACATGCATGAGAACAAGATGTACGGAGAAATGACTGTCTATATTGAAGCCTGTGAATCTGGATCTATGTTCGAAGGTATCCTTGAGGATGACCTCAACATTTATGCTACTACTGCCGCCAATCCTCACGAATCATCTTGGGGATACTACTGTGGATCTGACGCTGTCGTCCAAGGAAAGAACATCGGATCATGCTTAGGAGATCTTTACTCTATCGCATGGATGGAAGACTCTGATGCTAAAGATCTCTGTGATGAGACCTTGTCTTCTCAATTCGATATTGTCAAGGAGAGGACCACCAAGAGTGAAGTCATGAAGTTCGGAACCTTCGATTTCATGGATGAATTTGTAGGAAACTTCCAAGGAACCTGCTCTGCTAAGAACCCAATTGCTTCCTTCTTCAAGGGAATCAAGAAAGAACCAACTTACGAAGAGTTCCACGCCATTGACTCCAGAGATATCAAGATGCACTATCTCCACGATAAGTATGTCAGAACTTACGCTGATGAAGATGCTGCTGCTTTGATGGCTGAGGTCAAAAACAGACAAAGTATTGAAGAAAGATTCTCAAGACTTAGAGCCTCTACAGGAATCAATGCCGAAGGCCCAGTTACTATCACCGATTGGGACTGCTATAAGACTGTCGTATCCCAATATGAAGACAAGTGTGGCCTCGATGAGTACGATCTTAAGTACTTCGGACACTTCGTCAGACTTTGTGAGGAAGATTTCGACCTTGCTACCATTGATGGACTCTTCGCTGAGATGTGCTAAGCCTAACGTTCCTCGCTAAAAATCTACCAAGATTCTCGTATTAGATCAGGTAATGAACCAATTATTAGAAAAAGATTAGGGGTTTTGGGGTTTTGGGGTTTTGGGGTTTTGGGGTTTTGGGG